TGTGTGTGTGTGTGTGATGGCTGTTTTGTGTGACTCATCTTGTAAAGGGTATTTAAGAAATTTGTTCTCAGAAATTTGAGATCTTAATCTCGTAGAGACTTCCTGAATTAATGGAGTTAAACTCACAGTTGTGACACAACAGCCACAACAAGAACTGAGCTGCAGCATTAATTCTGCTGAGAAAATGCAGCAACATAACCATAGATACAATGTTTTTATGAACTTAAGAGCTTTGTTAAAAGTAAACAGCTAATTAAAAATAATAAAACTGAGGTAATTCATACCGAATGATAACCAATTCACCAAATACCCATATGGCGGCAGATTTTTTAGCTAGAATGAAAATAGGCCGATACAATGGCACCGATATGAGTCTGCAAAGGTACTCAGAAGGCTGCTTTCTAACACAAATGTCTAACAAATTACTGCTATACTCAAACATGTTCAATAATTCAACATCGAGGCTACATTGTCAACCAACTCTAGAAATGAACAGTGAGAAAAATAAAATAAATAGCTGAACATAAGCACTGTAAAGACCAATATCAGCAGGGACTATCGGCTGACCGATATGTCGGTTCGGCTCTATCATGTATGTGAATAAAGCAAAATATATAATTAATGTTACTGAATCCTAGAAGGTTACACTACAGAACAATGACGCAGAACATGTATTGTACTCCCAATCTGTTCTGTAATTTCATATATCATTATTATGATAATACATACCTCTTATTATATCTATCTATCCTCTTATATCTTGTAATTATTATATAAAGTATTATATTTTTCACTTCCTCATTTGGATCAGGAATATGAGGAAACTGCACTATTGTTTGGAGAAGTAGGTTTTCAATACCGATCTTCATCCTCAAGTACATTTATGTATATTTTAGTATATAGCTTTCTTATTTGGATTTACAGTATATTCTTCAACTTAATGTATCTGTATATCATTTTAATTTATTTTCTGTTTCTTTATCCGGTCTGTTGTAGGTGATCAATAAGGTCTTATCTTCTTCTCCATGATAAACTTCTAGTTTTACATCATGAAACTGTAAAACAGGTACCAGAGAGTCCTTCTCACAAATGTTTAAAGATTCCCATAACACTATATCAGTATCACAGCAGGTACACTTTTCATTAGAGCTCCACAACTGATGGAAATATTACTGAAATCCAATATGGCAATAAGAAGCTGCAATTGAATACCTAATTAAAGTAAAATATGTGATAAAACAGCATTATAATGATGACAATAATGCACCCTGGACTACAAATCTTGTTCTCCAGATTCAAGAAAACATGTTTTCCCGAAAAATATTTCACATCATCTTGATTTTAGTAATTTTTTTTCCAGTTAAAATTAAATTTGTGATAGAAAAATTGTGAATCTTATTGACAGAGTAATCGCAACACACATACACACACACACCTGCTCTGAGAACTCAGCCACCAGTATGAAGTCTCTGTGGAACTTGGCTGAAGTTGTCCAGGGGTGGGACAGAGGTAGAAGGGGGACCGAAAACTCTTCAGGTAGACCCTGAGCCTCCTCTTCTCCTTCCCCAAAGCCCTCAGTGCCGGTGAAGGCCAGCAGGTCCGGTGACCCGATCATCTCCAGACGGGGCGGGGGTTCAGCCCATACAGGTATATATGTTTATAAATTTGATCTATTCAGCATCAAACATCGCCCCGGTGCCGCTGCCCGGCCTTCAGTCGGTGAGTCAGCTGTTCAGACCGGACCACAACAACAACAACAAACAACCGGAGAGTTTATAAACTTGTTGCGCAGTTGTCCTCCGCAGCCATGAGGCGACAGATCCTTGAAGCTGTAACAAAGTAAAGCTCCCAGAGGTCGATCGTATCCGCTTCCCTTTCAGCAACAACAAGTAAACAAGCGGCGGCGTTTTCGGGAACTTGAGAGAGAGAGAGAGAGAGAGAGAGAGAAAATAAAAAACTTAACGGAGAAGCGAAAGTTCCCTGCGGCGGACGCACGGCGGTCACACGACTCACCAACCTTTGTCCCGGGATTTCTGTTCCTCTTTATAATCACTGAGCCAATGTTCAGACTTTAAAAGCCTCGTATATTACCGGTAAACCTGAACCCCTTCCTCCTCCTCCCTCCTCCTCCCTCCTCCCTCCTCCTCCACCTCCTCCACTGTGCGTCCGCGCTGTGCCATGTGATGCCGGACCGGGAGACGCGCCGGCTCTTCATGGAGAAACTCCGGCTGCAGGTCCGGAGTCAAGTCACACACGATAGTGAAGACTTCCGCTCCTCGGTTTCAAAGTTAAAGCGCTCTCTTATTGTCGCAGTCTGCTGCAGTTAGTTCCCAACCTTGTGTTTTCTATCATTGAGTGAACTGATGTTCCCTGAATTTATATCCAAAACTGTACAATGAATCCAAATAGTGAACTCAGTGACAGCAGGAAGTTTGTGTAAAACAAGTGATTTTGATTCATTCTGAGCAGCTTGTTTCCTGTTTATGGAACTTTTTATACAGTTTTCTGTCTGTATTATGTGTTTAACAATCATACAGACATATTAAGCTTCTTTTCTGACAGATTCACTGTTTCATTCTCATTGTTTTATTGTTTCATTAGCTCTTTGGTTGTTCTCTAATGCCGGACGAGGCTCAGGTCTTCACCGTGCCCTTATCCTTAACTTTTAAAAGTTTCTATCTAAAATGATCATATAAACTTTAAAAAAATAGCAATTTAATTTAGTTTTCTTCACGGAAATAAACTAAATGTTGAGATATAGGCCTACTTTTACAACCCCTTAAAATCAAGGAGGCTAAGTGACCCCCTGTAAAAAAAACCTAGTGGAGGTCCCAACCCCCAGCTTGAGAACTGCTGATCTGTTGCATAATGCGGTCTGCTTAGAGCACTGCAGAGCTATATTTAATCAGTTAAAGGCATTATCATCACTCCTTTATCTATTAACTTACTATATAAACCTTGATTAGTTGTTTGGGACATGATCACTTTAAAATAGCCTACTGCAGTCAACCTTTTTCCTTAAAGGACCCTTTTTCTATCACTGAGTGAACTGATGACCCCTGAATAAGTGACACATTTCATGGATATTTCATATTATATTCAAAGCATAACAACAAACAAAGTTTCCCTGATATTTTTAGGAACCTTTGATACAATTATTTGTCTGTATTATGTATTTTTTCTATTCTATCTTAACTTAAAGGAAAATACAATTTAATTTAGTTTTCTTCCAAATTGCTGAGAAATAGGCCTACCATGTAAATATTTAAGTTTTCTTACACCCAAGATGGCCTCACAATCCCCTGCGAAGCTCTGGCGACCCCTAGAGGGGGTCCTGACCCCCAGGTTGGGAACTAATGGCCTAGTATAAGAAATAGGAAAAATAGAAACAAATGGATGTAGACTATTATTACTCAGGGTTAGAAGACATTATTACAAACATTATAAGGCATGCAAAACTAACTGTAACCTTTTGTATTTCCACTGTACGAAGATCCAACATTGAGAGGGTTCCTGAATATAAATACAGCACATTCAAATATTATACAGACAATCTTATCATCAAACTACAACAAAAATATAAGAACTAACATTCTGCCTTTTGTTGAAGCTGTTTGTCTCTCTGTTACAGATTATGTGATTTATAGGCACGCCTCTGTCTCTGCCCTTCAGCCACTGGATGCCGTTTATCATTCTGCCCTCAGGTTTATTACTCGTGATGCCAATGGCACTCACCCTTGCAAAGGTTGAGTTGAGAGACACGATAAGCATATGTATTTGTTTATATATAAGGCTGTCATTGGAAAGTTGCCAGCCTATATCTCTTCTATGCTAGAATGGTCATCTGGACCTTATTAAACACAATCTAATGACTTTCACTGTAAGTTCCTTCAGTTCGTACGGAGCTTAAAAGATCTACTTATTTATACTCAACAACATGGAATATCCCACAAAGCACCCTGAGGATAAAAACTCTTGTACCCTTTTGGTGCATTTAAATCCATGATGAATGATTCAACCTCTGTTTGCACTTATTTTATGTGAATTGTTTTATCTTGTATGAACTGTTTTTATAATTGTTTTAAATACTTGTTTTCTTCTGTCTTATATCTTGTATTAGTGTTTAAATCAATACATTTTTCTTATATATTTTATTTTTTAACATCTTGTGTATTTATTTATTTTATTTTAAATTATTATTAATGGCCAGCCCTTAAGGTTAAATAAAGGTGTGTATATATATATATATTTATATATATATATATATGCAATTATCTGGCTCTATCTATATATTTATATCCTATATTTCCCTTAAATTATACTTTTATACGATACAATTATATTGATTTTTATACTGTGCCACTACCTCCTGCTGTAATCCTGGTGCAAATAATCTGTGCAATGTTCCATCAACCACACCTGTATATACAAAGATGCACATATAAGTCTTTCTATTTTTATTGAATGTGTATTTTCTTATCTGTTGTATTGTGTTGTATCTTGAGATGCTGCTACAAGAGAATTTCCCCTGTGTGGCATCAATGAAGTCTATGTAATCTTATCTAACTGCTATCAGTGAAGTCTTCTGAACCCAAAAAATCTAAGCTATCTTATAAAATAATTTACAGAGACCCAACAGTTCCCACCATGAGCAAGCACTTGGCGACAGCGGCAAGAAAAAAAACGTCCTTTTAACAGGCAGAAACCTTGAGCAGAACCAGGCTCTGGGTGGGCGGCCGTCTGCCTCGACCGGTTGAGTTGAGAAAGAAAGACAGAAGAGGCAGTTGGTGGCTTTCCATCTTAGATCCAGACTCTACTGCTCCGGGGCAGAAAGACCTACAGAGAGCATCATAAACAGAGAAAGAGAGAGACAAGAAAGCACACAACTACAGGAGAGAGAGGAAGTTAGTAACATGCATTAATGGGATAACAATGCATATAAAGACGGAGAGGAAGAGGGAGGGGCCCAGTGCATCACCTGAGCAAGCCTCGACTGTAAGCTAAAAGGGAAAGTCTGAATGAGGAGAGGGTGTCTGCTGTGAGCTTGTTCCACAGGAGAGGAGCTTGGTAGCTGTGTTCTACTTTTGGAGATGCTGGGAAACACAAGTAAAAATGCATGCTGGGAACGCCCTGTTGTATCAAACCAGTTAAAACTCTTAGAAAAAAGTACAATATATACTTTTGAATTGCTGTGGAGAAGAATAAAGAAGCTGAAAATGAACTCTATAAGATTAAAAGTACCTCATATTGGGCTTGAGTACAGTAACTCACTTACCAGAAATGTAAGTAATCCAATAAAATGTTTTTTTTAAACACATACTAACTCTGTGAAAATGCCCTGAAGAGATCCCGTATGAATGGGATCCCAAAATAATGAGGAACAAAATCCACAATCTATTTAATTTTGCTCATTTCAGACAGGAATGATTACAGCAAATTAATAATTCTTTCGATTTACATGTGGGCAAGTTAGTATTGTTTTAATAAAGACTTGAACTAAAGTAACTTCTTTATACAGAAGTCCATGGCACCATGTTGGTAGTCATCCATTAATGTTGTTTAGGCAATCAGCTGATGGGAACAGTTATCAGCTGACTCCCACATGACATCATTTCAGCATTCTGACTGACATTTCCTTTAACTAGTGCAAGAAGTTTACGTCTCTTCAGTTAATGGCGGGGGGTTAAAAACTGATGAACAAAGGTTTCACATGCAAGATGGATCTGAGGCTTCTCTCTCTCTTCTCTTTGTGACACTTGATTTTACTCAAGTTGGAAAATAAATGAAAACATTTTGGGAAACTGAGCGAGAATCTAAACAAATGCTTTAATTTTTTATTTGCAGTCACTGCTCAATCACAGAAAACACATTTTTCTTTCACTCAGCAAAAAAAAAAGAAAAAAAGAAATGCCCACAACATTCATACTGCATTTAAAAGTGAGTGCATAAAATTATTAGGCAACTTTAGCCATAATTTAAAGGGTTAGTTCACCCAGATAAGATTGGCAACAGACTCAACACTAAACAAGACGAACAAAACACTGCACACTTCAACTCCCAGCATGGCAGAATATACATGTTGAGTTAAATAAGTCCCACTCAGACAGACTGAGTAGTTTAATAAGTGCACAGCTTTCAGCAAGTCATTATTTTTCTGCATAGTTAGAATATATTAAAAGGAGATTTAGGAATATGATTCAGAGCACACACTATCAATTAAAAGATATAAAGAATTATGCACTTAAGCAATGAACTGTACTCCTCCACTGCTGTTAATGGATTTACTGGACTGTATAAGGCCATGCTGACCATCACCGACACCCTGTGAAAACTAATAAACACCCAAAAACTTCAACACAGACTTGGCTGGGGTGTGTGTGGGGAGTTATCAATCAGGCACATACTGAAGCATCGTTTCAAACATCTTGATAAACACTTTCTCAGCTCCTTTTCCTTGGCACGTCTCCTTTTCTCGGAGTGATTTGTTTGTAGCTTGATTATCACTTTCACATATCTCCCTGTAGCTTCTCCCCCCTCCAGTGTAGACATGAGTCCATGGTGCCTGCCATTTTGTCATTCCAACTGTACCCTGTTCCTTTGTATCAAAGCAAGATGGAGGAGCTAAACAACGAGAGTAGGCAGTGGGAAGAATCCAGCATCTTTGCCTTGAACCAAATGTCTCGGATGATGAAAGGTTACTCCTGTTTGTATCAGAGCTTGAGAAATGTGAAGCGTACTGTGTGTGGCCGACAGTTATATGAGCAGTATTTCAGGCTCTGACACGGCGCAGTAAAGCATGAAGCCCATCTGATCCACCTGGTCCTCGGACAGGCCGCTCAGCAGGTTAACAGCTGGCTTGAAGTAACTGTGCAACGCCCCTTGTTCAAGGTAGCCGATCAGCTCTGTGATACACTGTTGGAATCTCACATCCAGGCTGGTTTCGGACCAGTCGCTCTCACTGTCACTGAGGTGCAGAATGAGGTTGGCCAGCGGGGCGGCTTCGAGCGGCCGCAGGGCGGGGTTCAGTCTGCACACCGCTTTGAGGATTTTGAGTGTCTGTCTGCGGTATCCATCGTCAGCGGTGTCGAGCTGAGTTAGGCGCTGAGTCTCCCACGGGTAGAGAGACAGGT